CAAAAAAATAACAAATACTATGGTTTTGGCCTGATTTCGGCTTCCCCGGGCCTGTCCAGGACGCTGCTTACAGTTGACTTCCGGGCTCGCGTGCGTCATTTTTCATCACTCCCTTTGTTCGCCGTTTTTGGGCGCGCTCCGGGTCCATTTTGGACGCTGCGGGGCCCATGTTGGGCCGCAAAACGGACCCCAAACCAGGTCAAACCCCGCCCGGTTTTTACTGCAAGACGGACGCGGTTGCGACCCAACGCGGAAGTGCTGTCTTTTGAACCGCCCTGGGCTTCTCCAAGACCGCCTCGGGGCCTTCTTAGCCTCTTGTTGGGCCCTTTTCGGGTTCCTCTTCGGCCCTTCTTGGCGCCTTGCCGGCCGGATCACCGCCAGGGCAACCGTCGGGGCAACCAACCGCTCGGGCAACCGCCGAGACTAGCAACGGGAAAAGAATCCGGACAACCGTCGGGACAAGCACCCAGACATCTACCACGGCACGCCACGGGCCAGTCATCTGGTCAGCAATTGGAGAACCCACTCCAAGAGCCACCTTCCCTGCCATCGGATCAATCGACTGCGCAAGCGCGACAGAACCACGAGACTGCCACGCCACCGTATGACACAAGCCCACCACGGGAGCATGCCGCCTTCCCTACCATCGGATCAGTCGACTGCACAAGCGCACCACAAGCAGCAGCAGCACTAACACCGGCACAATCAGCACCATCGCCAGCAACAGCAGCAGCGGCACCCGCACTTCACCGTACCACCAGCAGGAGCGACAACAGCAACACCAGCAGCAACACCAGCAGCACCACCACCACTAACAGTAGCAAGTACGACAAACCTACTGTCGAACAGCCACGGGGCATGGCTGAGCATAGTAGGCGATAGCATAGGAAGAGAGAACGCGGGACTAAAACAACGAAGCACACGACTTGTATGAATTCCTGCCTATGTTTATCCCGTCATGGAGCCGTCTTCGCCCCGTCCGGCGAGAACTGGAATGGGCGGGCGGTGAACGCGAAGCGTCTTGAATAATAATATGAATACCTACAACAGTGATCATACTAATACGAATACGAACAATCATGGTCACCATCAGCAGCAGCAGCAGCAGCATCAGCATCATCACCATCATCACCATCATCATCATCATCATCATCATCATCAACCATCTCATCATCATCATCATCATCATCATCATCATCATCATCATCATCATCATCATCATCATCACCATAATCTTCATCGTCATCATAATCATCATAATCGTCAGAAGCATCATCATCATCATCATCACCATAAACATCAGCATGATCATCATCAGCATAATCATACTTATCATCATCAGCACCATCAGCAGCATCACCATCATCAGCGACAGCATCATCAGCATCATCATCAGCATCATCCTCATCAGCATCATCATAATCAGCAGCAGCTGCATCACCAACATCAGCATCATCACCATCAATAACAGCAAGATCCGCACCATCATCATAATCAGCATCATCATCGTCATCAGCATCATCATCAGCATCAGCATCATCATAATCAGCAGCAGCATGTTCCTAATACTGCAGCAGCATGCATCATCGTCATCAGCATCACCATCAGCAGCAGCAGCAGCCTGCTCACCATCATCCTGATATACTGATCATAAAAGAGACTTCATCATCCTGTCTTCCTTCCTCCTTCCTCTTCTCATTCTCCTATTCATCCTGCTCCTGCTCCGCCTCCTCCTCCTCCTCCTCCTCATCAGCACCATCATCATCATCATCATCATCATCATCATCATCATCATCGTCATCATTATAACAATTGTCACCATTATCAGCAGCATTATTATGATCGTCGTCGTTATCATCATCAGCATCATCAGCATCAGCATAATAATCAGCAGGATCACCATCATTATCATCATCAGCGTCAGCGTCAGCGTCATCATAGTCATCAGAGTCAGCATCGGCTTCAGCATCATCAGCGGCAGCATCAGCATCATCATAATCAGCAACAGCATCATCATCATCATCAGCAGCAGCAGCATCAGCAGCAACAACAGCATCATCAGCATCATCATCTGCATCAGTCTAAGCATCATTTGCATCAACATCATCATCATCAGCAGCAGCATCAGCATCATCATCAGCATCATCACCATCAGCATCAGCATCACCGTCAGCATCAGCCTGAGCATCAGCATCAGCCTCAGCATCATCATCCTCAGCAGCAGCAGCATCATCAGCAGCATTAGCAGCATCACCAACTCCATCATCATAATCAGCACCATCATTATAATCAGCATCATCATCGTCATCAGCATCATCATCAGCATCAGCACCATCATCATCGTCGTCATCATCATCATCACCATCACCATCACCATCACCGTTATCACCAGCATCAGCATACTCAGCATCATCATCGTCATCAGCATCATCATCATCATCAGCACCATCATCATCATCGTCGTCATCATCATCACCATCACCATCACCGTTATCACCAGCATCAGCATACTCAGCATCATCATCGTCAGCATCGTCATCGTCATCATCAGCATCATCATCGTCAGCGTCATCATAATCATCGTCACCATCATCATCAGCATCATCAGCATCATCATCATCATAATCATCGTCACCATTACAAGCAGCATCATCAGAATCAGCATTATCATCATAATCAGTATCGGCATCCTCATCATCATCATCATCAGCGTCATCACGTTCATCATCATCATCATCAGCATCAGCAGCATCACCATCATCATCATCACCATCCTAAGTATCATCATCGTCAGAATCATCAGCATCATCGTTGTCACCATCCTCAACATCATCAGAATCATCAGCAGCATCATCGTCAGCATCATCCGCATCAGCAGATTCATCAGCAGCATCAGCATCAGCATCATCAGCAGCAGCATCATCGTAATCATAATCATCATCACCCTCACCATCATTAGCAACATCAGCAGCAGCAACGACATCATCATAAGCATCAGCATCATCAGCATCATCAACATCAGCATCAGCATCATCTGCATCAGCATCATCATCAGCAGCATCATCAGCAGCGTCAGCGTCATCACAATCACTATCAACTTGAGCATAACCATAAGCAGCACCAACCCCGTAGTCAGCATCATCATCGTCATCAGCATCATCATCAGCATCAGCATCATCATCATCACCATCATCATAAGCAGCAGCATGTTCCTACTTGCTATCAGTATCACCATCAGCAGCAGCAGCCTGCTCACCATCATCATGCAGCACTGATCATAAAAGAGAGTTTTTCATCCTGTCTGTCTGCCTCCTTCCTCTTCTCATCCTCCTACTCATCCTGCTCCTGGTCCTCTTCCTCATCATCGACATCATGAGCAGCAGCCTCATAATCATCAGAATCATCATCATCAGCAGCATCATCGTCGTGGTCATCATCACCATCATCAGCATCATCAGCATCATCATCATCGTCATCATCGGCATCAGCAGCATCATCCTCATCATCAGCATCATCAGCATCTTCGTCATCAGCAGCATCAGGGTCATCATCAGCATCATTATCATCAGCAGCATCAGCATCAGCATCAGCAGCAGCAGCATCAGCAGCATCAGCATCATCAGCAGCAGCAGCATCATCGGCAGCATCGGCAGCAGCAGCAACAGCATCATCCGCATCATCATATGCATCATCAGAAGCATCAGCATCATCATCAGCAACATCAGCATCATAATCAGCATCATCATCAGCATTATCATCAGCATCATCAGCATCATCAGCATCATCATCACCAGCATCATCATCACCGCCATCCTCAGCAGCATCACTACAAACAGCATCATCATCAGAATCAGCGTCATCATCGTCATCGACAACACCATCATCATCATCATCATCATCAGCATCATCATCATCATGCTCATCATGATAATCATCATCAGCAGCAGCAGCATCAACATCAGCATCATCACCATCACTAACATCATGATCCGCACCATCATCATAATCAGCATCACCATCGTCATCAGCATCATCATCACCACCATCACCATCATCAGCAGCATCACTAGAAACAGCATCAACATCATAATCAGCATCAGCACCGTCATCAGCATCACCATCATCATCAGCATCATCAGCATCATCATGATCATCAGCATCAGCATCATCAGCAGCAGCAAAACCACCACCATCATCATATTCATCATCATCGCTAAGGATGGGGCTCGGGGCGGAGGACATCTGACCGTTCCTCGTCATCAACCGCATCCGCATCATCGGTCTTTCCCCAGATCGTTAGTCTCATTCCTCCTCCAGCATCGTTCTCCACCCTCCTCTTCCGCATCTTTCTCATCCTCCCCATCATCATCATTACCTTCCTGATTCGTTTCCTATCCCTGCCACTCTCCCCATCTGCATCACCTTTCCCTCAAAATGTGTTGTGTATTCCTGCTCCTCTTCCTCCTCATCCCGTTCGTCAGATTCGTCCTGCCGTGCCTCCTCGTCCCCCTCCTCATACTGATCCTAAAAGAGAGTTCCTCCTCCTCCTGTCTTCATTCCTCCTCCCTCTTCTCATCCTCCTACTCCTCCTGGCTCTGCTCCTGCTCCTCCTCCTCCTCATCATCAGCAGCAGCATCATCATCACCCTCATCAGCATCGTCATCATCATCATCAACATCATTATCATCATCATCATCATCATCATCATCATCAGCAGCAGCAGCAGCAGCAGCATCAGTATCATCATCATCAGTATCATCAGCATCATCATCACCACCATCATCATTCCGATCCCCCCCATCTCCATCATTCGCTCCTGAACAATATTCTGACGACTGAAGCTGAGTCAGAGCAGTACTAGATCCATGTTGAAGCTTGCGCCGATCTCTAGCTGTTAGACAGGGTGCCAGCTGCCGAAAATCACCGAAAGCCTCAGAGGAGCGTCGGCGTCATCCCCGCCTTCCTCCCCACTACGTACATCCTTATCCTCCTCCAGCGGCCTGGTGGGTTGCATTTCATCGAGGCGGCGCAGTTCAGGTACACTAGGCCTTAGCCAACACCGCCAGGCAAGCGCGCGCTCGAGAAGCGGAAAGAAGGGAAAGGAGAGTGGGAGAGGGAGGAGAGGATCAATCAGCGACGGATCGGGAACTCGGATCGAATCGCAATGTTCGTCGGATCGGACTGCATCGGCACGGAGTCGGAATCGAATCGGATCGGGCGCGCCAGGAATTTACAGCGACGCCATGCGAATATCGGACCGCGTCGGATCGCCGGGAAAACGGAACCGAATCGGATCGAGCCAGGCGAAATCGATATCGAATCAGCTCGATCGGCTCGAGATGGACTCTGGAGGGCGAGGGGGAGGCAGCGCGACGTGTTCAGAGGGCGACCACAGGTGGTCTCGCTCACCCTCGTGGCAAGACGGACCGCAAAATGACATTGCAATGAGCAAGTTTTTGCCGCCTCCGGCGGGACCGTCGGAGGGCCGGGCGGGTCCATCCCGAAGCCAGACCCGCAGACACCGCCTTCCGCATCCTGGTGGAGAGGTGCTGGGCGAGGCTGGAGCTGAAGCTCGGGGTCGCCTGCCCGCCTGCGGAACCGCAGCTGGAGGAGGTCCTCGTTGTCGTCCGCCTCGGGCTGGAGCTGAAGCTCGGGGTCGCCTGCCCGCCTGCGGAACCGCAGCTGGCGGAGGCCCTCGTTGTCGTCCGCCTCGGCGATGGCCGCCTCTGGGTGGGCGAGCTCCGCCAACGCCGCGGCAGAGTCGACAGCGGCTGTCGCGCTAGCCAGCTGCGCGGTGAGCCATGCCGAGGCGTGAGTACATGGCTTCCAATTCGATGGCTGTGCACCTGTCTCGGCGATGCGCCAGGGTCGAGAGAGGTGCCGCAGATCAGAGATGGTGACCGCCATCTGGTGGAGGACCATCGCCCGACGGTGGCGGCGATTGACCGCCTCGACAACGTCGGCGAGCAGATGACTCCAGAGGACAGCTTGGGTCGCCAGCCCGTCCACCTGCCTGTTGAAGTCCTCTGCCACGACGTTGACGCCCAGCGTCGACACCGTCCTGGCCGAAGCGGCTGGTCACCCTGTCGACGCGGAATAGAGGCCTCCTAAATGGGGTCCAAAGTAGATGGGGTCGGAGGAATGCTGTGCGGGCTCTACCGCTGGGCCTCTCGGTGGAGCTCCCTGTAGGGCCACGAAGCGTGTCGGGGGTGTGCCGAATCGGGCGCGGGTACGCCACGCGGACCCTGCCGCTGGGGCCTTCGGTGGAGCTCCCTAAGGGACCACGAAACGTGTAAGGGGTTGTGCCAAATAGGGTGCGGGGACGCTATGCGGACCATGCCGCTGGGGCCTTCGACGGAGCCCCGTATGGGGCCACAAAACGTGTGAGTTGTGTGCCGAATCGAGTGCGGGTACGCCATGCGGATCCTGCCGCTGGACCTTTCGGTGGAGCTCTTTGTGGGCCCACAGAACGTGGCAAGGATGTGCCGAATCGGATGCCGGTACGCCATGCGGACGCTCCCGCTGGGGCCTTCGGTAGAGCTCCCTGTGGGGCCACGAAACGATTGAGGGGTGTGCCGAATCGAGTGCGAGTACGCAAGTGTGTGAAGAGTGTGCCGAATCGGGCGCGGATACGCCATGCATAGATGAAGCTCCCTGAGGGAGCACGAAACGTGTGAAGGGCGTGCGATGATGGTGATGAGGACATGCGGAGCGCGGAGGCAGGGATGGGAGGAGAAGTGGGAGGAGGAGAGAGGAGAAAACGCGGGGCGGTGTCGCTTCAAAACGAAAACCCAACACATCAGGATGATTGAAAAAACAAACAAAGGCACAAAGCGTGACCCAGAAGGAGCAGGTGTTCCTTTCCCCCTGCCCCCCCTCGCCTCCCTCATCTCTGCCCTCCGCAACCCCATTCCTCCAGAGGTGGAGCCGCTGGGGGCCGCACATATGAGCCCGCTGTACATGGACTCCACGAGAAGCACGTGACCCCACGTGTACCCCTCCTTCGGGCCTCGGGCAAGGTCGGGAGTGCGGAGACAGGAAGAAGGACGAAGCGGACGAGGACGAGCACCCGGAAGCTGGAAGATGCGAAGAAGGAGCGGAAGAGGGACGAAAGGGGAGCGAGGAACAGAGGGTGGCGGAACAGGAAGAACAAAGAAAGAAGACTCGGAGAAGGGGGAGGACCTGCTCCTTCTCTGTAGGGGAAGACAGCGAGGACTACGACCAAGACTGAACGCGGAAACGTCATGTGTCGATCTTGGTGACCGTCGATGATCGTCAGCGTAAAATCGTGGATCTTCCTAGCGAATCGCATGCGGCCGACATGGACCATGGCCAAGATCGGCGCCGGCAAGATCCCACGACATCTTGATCATGGTCCCCGTGCCTCTTCCCTCGGTCCTCCTCCTCCCCCCCCTAGCTCCATCCGCGTGCCGAGCTCGCCGCCTATGTCGATGCCGTGGATGGACTGCACCGCGACAACCGCGGCGCACACCGCACCCAGGATCTGAGCCAGGCAGAACTTCAGCGCCACTGGGGCGCGGTAGCGGCCCGAGAGCCACAGCGCCTCGGGCCACGCCGCGGGCGCGGGCGGCACCAGAAGGCCAAGGCCGAGCACCGGTGCCTGGGCACCTCCTCATCATCCTCGTTTCCCTCCCCCTGCTCTCTCCTGCTGTATCCTCCTTCCTGTTCCTCCCACCAGCACAGAGACGAAGAGGGAGAGGAGGGAGAGGAAGAGGAGAAGAACGAGAAGGAGGAGGACGAGAGGATGCGCTGGGCTCTGCCCACAAACTCGGCATCCTTCACCCTCCTCTTATCCATCCTGTTCCTCCTCTTTCCCTCCTCCTCCTCCTCCTCCTCCTCCTCCTCCTCCTCATCATCATCATCATCATCATCATCATCATCATCATCATCATCATCATCATCATCATGACATCATCATCATCATCATCATCATCATCATCATCATCATCATCATCATCATCATCATCATCATCATCATCATCATCATCATCATCATCATCATCATCATCATCATCATCATCATCATCATCATCATCATCATCATCATCATCATCATCATCCATCATCATCATCATCATCATCATCATCATCATCATCATCATCATCATCATCATCATCATCATCATCATCATCATCATCGCATCCATCATCATCAGCATCATCATCAGCATCATCATCAGCATCATCAGCATCAGCACCAGCATCAGCATCATCATCATCATCATCATCATCATCATCATCAGCACCATCATCATCAGCATCATCATCAGCATCATCAGCATCAGCACCAGCATCAGCATCAGCATCATCATCATCATCATCGTCATCATCATCGTCATCATCATCACCATTTATCATCATCATCACCATCATCATCATCAAAATCACCATCATCATCAGCATCATCATCACCATCATCATCTTGTTATTACTATTATTCATTTTAACCGTCGTCGTCGGCGTCGGCGTCATCATGTTCATCATCATCATCGTCACCATCATCAGCAGCATCAGCAGCATCAGCAGCACCATCAGCATCATCATTGTTATCGTCATCTTGATCTTCATCATCATCTTCATCAGCATCAGCATCATCGACCTCATCATCAGAATCGTCATCATTGTCGTCATCATCATCACCATCATAATCAGCATCAGCATCCTCAACATCATCGTCAGCATTATCATCGTCAGCGTCAGCAGCAGCATCATCTTTATCGTCATCGTCGTAAGCATCATCAGTATCATCATCGGCAGCATCGTCAGAATCATCATTATCATCATCGTCATCGTCGTTCTCGCCATCGTCAGTATCAGCAGCATCATCATCATCACCATCATCATCATCTTCACTCATTCATTCATTCGCTCATTTACCACCACCACCCTCATCATCGTCGACATCATCATCATCATCATCATCAGCAGCAGCATTATCATTAATCATCGTCTCACCACCACCACCACCACCAGCACCATCATCATCATCAGCAGCATCATCATCAGCATCATCCTCATCATCATCAGCATCGTCATCAGCATCATCATGATCAACAACATCCTCATCATCACCACCACCATCATCATCAACAACAAGAAGAACAACAACAAGAAGAAGAACAACAACAACAACAACCACAACAACAACAACAACAACAACAACAGTTACCACATCATCACCCTCCTCGCGATCCTCCTCCTGCATCCTCCTCTGATCCCCCTTCTCCTTCTTTCCCTCCTACACCTCGCCAAGCAGAATCCCCCTCCCCCGCAGCTCCCTCAGCAAACCTGTAGGACCACCCTTCGGGTGATAAGGAGGTGGGGAGGAGATGCGCAGCTTTGGCCATTGGCGTCAGATCGGATGCGCGAACTGTGAATCTATCGATCTTGATCTCTCCGTCGACCCGTCCAAACTATCTACCATTCGAGCCCACTAGCACAATATCGATCGACCTATGTATTCCGGATCTTATAACTATTGGGTGGGGTCTAAATTTGGGGGGTCTAACGGGCTTCGTCAAACAAGATTGCGGGGGGGTCCCGATTTTGGACCCTTTGTTGTCTCTCTGGGGGGGGGGTCTACTTCAGGCTGTCGTTCAACACGTTCGGGGGGCTCTAAAATTTAGATTTTTCGACGTTTGATGAGGGTTCGGGGGGCTCCAGCTCCCTGCCAATCGCCAGCTCACTGGCGACGACGACAAAGACGCCGACAACCGCGATGCCCGCAACGACGACGATCCCCGCGACGACGACGCCGACGCCGACGCCAACGCCGACGACAACGACGCCGACGATGACGAAGAGGACGACGACCAAGACGACGACTTCGACTCCCACGACGATGACGACGACGACGATGACGACACCGACGACGACGAAGAGAACGACCACGACAGCACTGACAACAACGACAGACGACGACGAAAACCACGACGAACCCGACGACGACAAAAACTAAGACAAAAACAGTTTTTTTCCGTCGTCGTCGGTTCGTCGTAGTCGTCGTCGTCCTTCTCGTCGTCGTCGTCGTCGCAGTCGTCGCCGTCCTCGCCGTCGTTGTCAGTGGCGTCGTCGTCAGTGTCGTCGTCGTCGTCGTCAGTGTCATCGTTGTCGTCGTCGTCAGTGTCGTCGGTGTCGTCGTCGTCGTCATTGTCGTCGTCATGGTAATCGTCGTCGTCTCGTCGTCGTCGTCGTCCTCGTTTCAATGGTAGCCGCAGTCGCTGTCGATGGCGTCACTGGCGTCGCCGTTGTCGTCGTCGTCTTTTCGGGGGTGCTCCAACAATCTATGCCCAAACGCTTCTTTTGGGGGTCTAGACCAAAACGTCAAACGACGCTTCTGGAGGGGTCTGGATTTTGGTGCGGTTGCACCGCTCTTAGGAGGGGTCCCAGACGGCCCGTCAAATACATGGTTGACCCCCACACTCCTGTGAGATTTGGAGTATCTCTCCATCAAACTATCTCTTGAAACTATCGATCTCGCTATCTACATGTCCGTCTCATCATCTGTAGGCGGGACAACCACGGGACAATGACAGGACAACCCTGGACCCCCACGCGACAACCACGAGACAACCACGGGACAACGACGAATGAACGACGGGACAACCAATCACGAGACAACCCCAGGACCGTCGCGGGATAGCACGGGACAGTCACGGGACGACCACGGGACGACGACGAATGAACGACGGAACAATCAACCAGGAGACAACCGGGACCTCCGCGCTCACTATCCGTCGATATCGCTATCAACATACCAATCGGTCTCACTGTCTATTCTATATGTCAGCCTCACGACATATCTATTTTCGAGCTATCTGTCAGCCTCACGACATATCTATTTTCGAGCAGGGCGGCCATGCGACAACCTCTGGACAACAACGGGACAACCACGGCACAATCACGGAACAAACACGAGACAACCCCGGAACAACCATGGAACAACCGCAGGACACCACAAGGAAACCACAACACTGCGACGGCACACCCACGGGACGCCCCCAGGACAGCCAGGGGGAACAGCCACTCGAAAAAGCACGTCCTGCGTCGGCGGCGAGGCAGGGGGCGTCTGCGCTGGCGGAAGAAGCCAACTCAACGGGGGCACGATTGTGGCGAGTTGGCCCGCATGCAAGAGCGAAGGCGCTGGAAGACAGGACAGGACAGGCGGCCGCCGAGGGGGGGAGGGGCGAGGGGGCCACTGCGGGGCGGACGGGTCACCACTGAAAAAACACGGGACCACCGCGGGACGACCACAGGAACCACCGCGGGACCACCCTGCGCCCTCCACGGCGGAGCAGAGACCCCGACTCGGTTTTTGCGGCGCGTGACGTGGGCGCAGCTCTAGGGCAGGACCTCATGCCGCGTCGCCTCGCCTCGCCGGAGCGCACGCCACGCACGCCACGAAGTGAAACCGAACCTCCTCCCTCTCCTCCCTCCTCCTCCTCTCCTCCTCCCTCCTCCTCCCTCCTCCTCCTCCCCCTCCTCCTCCTCCTCCTCCTCCTCCTCCTCCTCCTCCTCCTCCTCCTCCTCCTCCTCCTCCCCCTCCTCCCCCCTCCTCCTCCTCGTCGTCCTCCTCCTCCGTGGCTGCCGCGGAAGAGCTCGGCGAGCCTCGGCCAAGGGCGATGCCTCGGCCACGAGCGGGCTCTCCCCCAAACCAGGGCTCGGGGGGGCGGCCCGAGGAGCGGAGCCCCTCCGTCTCACCTCGGCCCCAGCCTCCGGAACGGAACGGAATGGAAGCCGGCTAGTGGCTCCGCGAGGGAGCTGCCGGGGGGGGGGCCTAAGCCCACTCACTTGCTGATGTACCCCTTGTTGATGTGCTCCTCTTTTAAGGTATCCCACACCGGTGATTTTGTCACCTGCACCCAACTTCCATGGCCAGTTGTCTGCACATGTTGTTTGATATCGTCTGCCCAGCGAGTCTTTGGTCGTCCCGGCCCCGGCCTCCAGCCGCTCTAAAGACCAGGCGATGTACATTGGGAGACACAATGACATAGTACAACCCCGTGCGAAAGGCAGCTGGTGTTTGGTGAGCCCCCTGGCACCCCCCCATTACATTGTTGATCGTGCGACAGGCGAAGTTCAGAAAACACAACTCGGCACCGCGTTGAACGTTGAAATTGGGGGGGGGAGGTGTGTGCGTGTACAAACAAACCAGTTGGTTTTCGCACGGGGTTATAGTAAGATAGGTCATCCTTGGAGGCGCGCGCGTCCAACCCGAGCACATAGTATACCCGTCTTGTAGTGTCTCGTTTCCCGAGCGCTGTGGCCAAAAAGCGCCCGCCACGACGCGTATGCTGGAAGATTTCTCGGCGCGCGCGTCGCTCTTTTGGGGGCGACGCACACATAGTATAAGCATGGTGGGGCGACGCCGATACATGGAAGGATGCAGGCTGGCCCTGGACAGGGGGCCATGAGCGCAAGCATGGCACCGCCCTCCTTCTTTCCCCGCCTCGCCTCCCCGTACCTGTCATTGTTCCCGCTCGTTCCCCGGCCTACGTATTGGCATCTGAGGGCTGGGCAATGCACACCGACGGATTGAAGTTCGCCCCGGACACGTGGCCAAAGGCGTAGACAAAGCACATCATCATGAACGCGTTCGCGGAGACGCCCCAGAGCGAGTCGGTGTGATCTCCTGAATAATTGTAGACGAACGTGAGCGTCAGGACGAAAACACCAATGAATTCAGCAATGTACGGTGCCACACTCTCCCAGCAAGTTGGGAAAATCGCACCCTCCGTCGAGAGCTGAGACCTCAGACGGCACACGGATCTCATGGATCATACTCCTCCCGGTCTGCTCTGCACAGCAGGAGGATCTCAACCTTTCGAGAGAGAGATAGAGAGAAAGCGAGACATCTGTGTATATATATACATATACATATGTGTGCATGTATGACTGTGTGTATGCGCTACCTTTTCTGTATCCTGTCTCTTGCTTCTGCTCACAAGCCTGAGGTTGAGAATACGGCACAAGAATAGGACTGCACTTTAGAATCGGGAGCCGCCGACCCCCGCTTGCCCAGGTAGAATCGGGGGCACGCAAGCATGGATTTGCGATCCATGGATTTGTCGCGCGGTCGCCAAATCCGTGGATCCAGGGAGGTGCCCTCCCCAAAATGCGACCGGTGCCGCCTCGCTCGGCGGCGGAAATCCGCGATCTCCCATGGAAACGGGCCTCGTCGCTAATCCACGCCCCCTTGATCCATGTTTGCGATCGCCTGAT